AATACATGACTGTACTCTGATTGGATTAGGCGCTAATGGACCCGGCATACAGGAGTGCATAGAGACAAAATTACATAATAAAAAAAACAAACTTATATGGGGAATTGGGATACCATAGTTGCTTTATGAAATACATATTTCTGTGGAGCACTTTAAAAGTAAAAAAAAACCAAATAAGTGATATAAAAACCCGATATAAGTATGTTGTTAAATCTAACTTTAAGGCAATTCTTGAGAGTATCCCGGTAGATGCCTATTTTTCCAAACTGTGTGTAGATCGCTTTGTATGCAGTAATGTTTCCTAATTGGTTCTAAAACAACAGAAACTGGGATAAAAGACCGGTTTACAGTTGAAATAGTCAAATCTCAGCATTAATTCAAATTGACGCTAAACTTACAAAAGCTAAGTTTGTTTAGATTGCATCGGAATAAACTTAGTCAAGTTTTGATCTTAAAATAGTTGGATAAAAGTTCGAAAATTAAGACTCACTGACTAGTAATACCGGAAATCTGGATCACTGTGAATTTTGTATATGTTTAACCTTCTATCTGTCTATCCTTTTATGACAAGAGAAAAAGTTTCTAAAACTTCCACTTGTTAATTAAAATTAGGTTCCAGGTTTCGGGAACATTATATAAAACAAATTAAATAGGAAAGGTTTCTTCTAAACTTCAAAGATACAGTTTCAAATCATTAAATAAAGCTTAAAGTAAATTTACATCCTTTAACAACATTTTATTTTTTTAATTATGGTTTTCTTTTCAATTTAGTTTTTCAATTTCTATGAAAAAAATGTAAATCTAAGTATTTTTATTTACGGGGACTGTAGACGTAATTTCGTGTGTTTTTCTAATTATATAGTTGCATGTCCAATTTACAATGGTACTCTTTCATTGACGACGACGAAATGCGCGATTTTGTCGCTTTTTTAAGTTAGTGACGGCAGCTGCAGATCTATTTGCACACACTTAAATATGTTGTTATTGAATCGGATATGCTATTTACAAATGGCGGACCACCTCTGCACGTCTACAATCCCTTTAAAGAAGTTTAATTTTGTTATAATTTATCAAATATTGTGAAGTGGAGTTGAAGAGGAAAAATATTTAAGTATTCAAGTTTGCTCACAGAACTGAAAGTTTGAAGGAGGAAGGGAGGGAGGATGGCTTGAAGAATAAATTATGGGGTATTTGTTTCCCGCAGCTTGCTTTTACAATCTTTACACAATCCTCTGCTATGCCAAAAAAGATGCAAAATTTTGCACACAGTGGTACTCATAAGAATGTGGAATAGTAAGATAACATTTAAGCAATCATGATGTTGCCATAAAGCAAAGAGTTTTATCATCAACTTGAAAATCAACTTTTTAGGTCTGTGTACACTGCACAATTGCTGTTCTTCATGTCCATTAGTCTATTTCAAATCATAAATTCAGTCTAACAAACGTATTCCCAGCTTGATGTGCTCCACTGTATGCAAAATTGTACATATCTTATCTATTTCTTAACATTTTTAAACATCTAATTTTCTATCTGAAATATTTTCAGTTAATCAAATGCTTTTATAAAGTTTACTTGTCAATCAGAAACCAGTTTTGGTTAACAACCACTTGCAGTAATCCTGAGACCAAAAATGAATTGCAAGAATTTAGTTGAACTACGCAGACAAAATTGAACAACTTCTCTTTTGCACCGGTTCAAGTTCAAAATAAATGGATCAACTTAGTTTAGTAGTTCAAAAACTTAAATCTGTGATGTCCGATGAACATAAAACATTGCAGCAATTGTGCAGTGAACACAGAACCATTTAACTTAATTAGTTGATTTTCAACCTACTGCTAAAACAGTTCATTTTTAACAACATCAATTGCAGAAATGATTGAATAAATGTTGTCTCTATATGCCTGTAATAAATATGTTACTCCAAAAGTACTTTAAAGGGACTGTAAAGGAAAATTATAGGCTGAAACCTTAGAATCTCAGGAGTTGAACGATACCTAAAAGAAATCAATCTAATGTTCCTGGTTCAAGAAATTATACCAAAACGTAAATATGTAAGATATACGTCCGTATAACGTGACCAGAACTCCCTCCAATGGCAGAACAGTATGCTGGTCACGTGATACAGACGGAGACACGTGACAATTATACTGCACTGCCATTAATTGGGATTTTGGTGACATGTTCAGACGCATAAATAATATTATCAATTATATCTTTTAAAAATGTAAAATTATTAAATTCAAATATTTATAGGAGCAAACTTGAGTTTCACAGGCTCCTCTGGGATATCGTTGTTTTCGGATTGTTTGCATATGCATATTTATTAAATATGATCTGTTTAATACTACGAATCTTATACAAAATCTTATATATATATATATATATAAATATATTTATGGTATAATTTTGACACAGTTTTATATCAATTTCTTGAGACAGGACATCAGATAGATTTCTTATATGTATCGTTCAACTCCTGAGATTCTCAGATTTCATTCTATACCTCCTTTCAATTTTCCTTTACAGTCCCTTTAAGTCTGTAACAATCCAGATGCAACTCTCTCTCTGCATTTTTGAGTGTGTATCAATCCAGATATAACTTTCTCACGGTTATTCTTAAGTATTTATCAATCCAGATACAACTTTGTCTCTTTTTTCTCGAGTATGTTTCAATCCAGATATAACTCTCTCACAGTTATTCTTATGTATGTATTAATCCAGATACAACTCTCTCTCTCTCTGCATTCTTGAGTCTGTATCAATCCAGATATAACTCTCTCTCTGCATTCTTGTGTATGTATCAATCCAGATATAACTCTCTCACAGATATTCTTAAGTATGTATTGTAAACCCACCAAGGATGTAGAACCATAGCCTAGTTCATTCAACCCAAGTTAAAGTTGTATCATGATTTGAGAAGTGGACAAACAAAATAATATTATATAACTCTCTCACAGATATTCTTAAGTATGTATCAATCCAGATATAACTCTCTCACAGATATTCTTAAGTATGTATCAATCCAGATATAACTCTCACACAGATATTCTTAAGTATGTATCAATCCAGATATAACTCTCTCACAGATATTCTTAAGTATGTATCAATCCAGATATAACTCTCTCTCTGTATTCTCGAGTATATATGTATCAATCCAGATATAACTCTCTCACAGGAATTCTTAAGTATGTATTTATCGACACACTTTAAACTCTCTACCGAGCAATATTACTCTGACCTTAATCAAACAGAGTTCCTATTTAACAAATATATTTTGGGTTTAATGATACCAATAAAATGTAATTGATCGATGTTCAGAGATTAACAAACATAGTTAAATATACAAAACATGTTAATTAGGGTTTATTACCATATATATACAGGAAGGTATAGGTTTCCAAGATATGGGGGTTATATTAAATTTATTACATGCCACAGTTTTCTGGGTCCCACTGTATCATTTGTAAGTATAAAGTTATGAATGCACCGTTGTATGGTTCATCAGGTTTGTTTGATTTTCAACAAATATTTGCATAGCTTAACAAAAGCAAACCTGTTCCAGCATACAATTCTGATATACTTAATCTGCATATTCAAATATTTCAAATCTATAACACTATCAAGAGCAATGTTAATTTTATATATTTAAACACTATGGCTATAAAAGAGAGCTCGAAAGTTGACCTTTTATTTTAAATTTTTGTGAATTTTTTGGTTTATATTGGTGCATTTTTCTAAACTATTAATGTCGGCATTTTTTTCCGGGCAAAATTTTTCAATTCTGGGTAGCTGTCCTTAAACCGTACCTGTGGCCCATTTTATGTGAGTTGGCATCACCATAGTTCCAGTAGAAGTAAATATTTTCATTTACTGATAACGCTGATTGAATGGATGATGAGATAGATAGAAAGATAGATGTTACCGCTAAATAATTTCTATTAGTTCAGAATAGACATCAAACACATGACTGAACCTTAATTAGATCAGGCATACAGGAGTGGCATAACAAATTTGGGCCCGATCGGTTCAGCCGTTTTTACGTTTATTGGATACACACAAATAAGCAGACAGACAAACCAAATTTATCTATAGATACAGGGTTATCCACTTCACTTGAATATATTAATTTTTCTATTTGCATTCATAATTTTCTGCAATTTAACTTTTTAAAATAAACTTTCTAACAAGAAACCTACAGCTCTTGTTTAATTTAAAACCTTGAGTTTAGTGCAAAATAGTAAAGTTTACGATTTGATAAAAATAAAATAAAATGAAATATATCGGAAACTCATAAATATGAATAAACATAAATATAACTAATCATATACGGTTTCTAGGCATCTAGTTTTGAATATACAAAAACAACTGTCAGAAACTTTAATGTTTATAAACGAATGTAAATAAAAATCTTTACATCGCTTTCTCTGTTATAACCCCCCCCCCCCTCCTCCTTCCCATGTATTCATTGCTTTCACTTTATATGCAAACGTACTTCTGCTTTCACATAGTAAGCATATATGTATATTGTATATAGGTGAAAGTGAAATCATTTAAACTAAATTTTCCTTCTAGTTTTATTAAGAGGAAACTTAAACACTCAAAAATGTTTGACATAATTTTTCAATTACGCAAAATCAGTTTATGCTCGAACTTTACTTTGGTCTTAAGCCGGTCGTACTGAAACCCCGTATTTAACCCTAAAACGGCTGTCGAGAGAGGCGACCAGAGAGGGGGGGGGTATTTCTATACAATCACTTAATATAGCTTTTTGAGTTTTAAAATTAAGAAACAGTTTCGGCATCTTCAAAAACAAAATCTTATTTTAGCGCAAAGGACGTAGGGTAGAGAACTTTCTTAAGGCCGGTGGCTGTCAAGGAAAAAATAAATAAAAACTTATCTAACTAGTTTGGGCTCTTTATATACTCTAAACTGTCCAGTCTAATTATTCTAATTATTGGATATACAATAAGAACTAAACTGTAAACATTTCAAGAAAAATGGAAGAAAATGAAATCTTTAAATCTGTCCCCATTCAGGGGAAAGGTCATGGAGTAGTTGCTCTTAGAGATATTCAGGTATAGTTTAGGTTTAGGGTTAGGTTTAGGTTTAGGTTTAGGTTTAGGTTTAGGTTTAGGTTTAGGTTTAGGTTTAGGTGTAGTTTTAGGTTTAGGTTTAAGTTTAGGAGTAGGTTTAGATTTAGGTTTAGGCTTAGGTTTAGGTTCAGGTTTAGGTTTAGGTTTAGGTTTAGGTTTAGGTTTAGGTTTAGTTTTAAGTTTAGGTCTAGGTCTAGGTTTAGGTTTAGGTTTAGGTCTAGGTTTAGGTTTAGGTTTAGGTTTAGGTTTAGGTTTAGTAGGTTTAGGTTTAGGTTTAGGTTTAGGTTTAGGTTCGGGTTCTGGTTTTGATCAGGTTTAGATTTAGGTTTAGGTTTAGGTTTAGGTTCAGTTGTAGGTTCAGGTTTAGGTTTAGGTTTAGGTTTAGGTTTAAGTTTAGGTTTAAGTTTAGCTTTAGGTCTAGGTTCAGTTTCAGGTTCAGGACAATTCCTAGAGTTGTATTTTAGGTTGGTGAATTGATATTAGCAGAATTCCCTCTGATCCAGGTCCCTTGGTGGATCAGACACTCTCAGGCATAAACCAGTTCAGGAGCAAAATAAAAACAATTCTTGAAATAAAATATTTTTCAAGAGATGTATTTCAAGAATTGAATGTCCGATTTACATCGCTAACCTGTAACCCTTCATATCGGCGAGAAAAAAACCTCAAATCACTTTTATAGAGAATCCATAATTGTAAATAATCAAATTTGAGTTAGAAAACTATCATTGATCCATCATCAGTCAAAGGTTCAAAGCGTTCGATGTGAATCGTACATGTCAACTCTGTGAATCGTACATGTCAACTCTGTGAATCGTACATGTCAACTCTGTGAATCGTACATGTCAACTCTGTGAATCGTACATATCACCTCTGTAAATGGAAGGTTACTAGAAATTACTTCATTAGTCCAACTAAACAAACTTTGCTCAAACATGGTTTATTGAATTGTTTAGTATGCTCAGAGGGAGAAAAAACAGTTTTTAGAACATGCTGTTCGTACAATGTCGAAAAAGGAAAATTAGTTTCTCGATTTTTCAAACATTTGAGTTAGATTCTTGAAATTCAAAATAACAAATAACTTTTTACGTATCAGTAATCTATCATAACTGGTTAGACTTTTTTGTAGAAAAGTTTAGGTTTAGATCCATATAGTTTTCTTTATATAATGTAAAAGCGTAATCCAAATAAAAAATATAACGTCTGCTATTTTTTCATGAGCATATTTCTTTAGCCCTTCATATAATGTATTTTTGCCAAAATATTAGCTACTGCATGGAAATTTTTCTATCAAACAAGCATTCATTTAAAACATAAGAAAATGCAAGAAAATTGAAGCAAGCTGATCAGGATAGGTTAGGGTTCTTCTCACTACATGATTCAAAGGTGTGTCATTCAAAAAAAACTTATTCACATCACTTTTTACCAAGATTTCGACTTTGAATAAAAACTAACACAAAGATACCAAACAGTCGACTCGTACTCGAAATTTTAAATGTTTATTTCTTTGCAACCTGGTGGTGTGTATTGTGTATATTGTTTTTGGGTATTGTGTAAGGTACTTTCCTAAAGGCATTTTCCCAAACGACAAATTCCCAAGGTTATTTTCCTAAGTGACAACTTTCCAAATGTGCATATTTCCAAGCACAACTTCAGCCAAATCTGTTCTAGCCGCAGAACTTTGTTCTCCTCTTGTTCTTAATCTCCAGATTATATAATGCTTGTTCTCCTCTTGTTCTTAATCTCCTGATTGTATAATTCTTGTTCTCCTCTTGTTCTTAATCTCCAGATTATATAATGTTTGTTTTCCTCTTGTTCTTAATCTCCAGATAATATTATGATTGTTTCCCTCTTGTTCTTAATCCCCAGATTATATAATGCTTGTTCTCTTCTTGTTCTTAATCCCCAGATTTTATAATCTTGTTATCCTCTTTTTATTAATCTCCAATTTTCAGCTCTGGTTGCAAAGATATAAGAGTGAGAAAAGTACAAATAGAGTAGAGTAAAGTTCAAAACCATGGTACAATTACAAACTCGTTGGATTTTTTAGCATGTGGTGTTTTTAAGTATATAATTTCAATAAAACATTAAACTTTATCAAACCTACAGGGTGAGTCAAAAAATTTGTGCTGTGCTAAATTTGTTTGTTGTGATTACGTATTTTTAAGAAATAATTTGAAAAATATTCAGGTTGTTCTGCTCTAAAATTTCATAAAAACCTATAACTGACAAATGAAAAAGAAATATTTTTGCGGAATTTTTTCTCTGTATACAAATTAATATTTTTGCATTTGATTCACTTTATTTAAGTATTTTCCACCTAAAACATAAACCCTGCAAAAACAATACTAATCCCGTTTTTTACCTACCCTGTATTAATTAGGTGCCTGAAGGGGCAGAAAAGACAATAAGTGGAATATGGAGAACCAATAATTTTGCTCTGGGAGCCAGTGGACCTAGAGCTGATAATGGTTTGTTCCTACTCATGAGCAGGTATACTGATGGAGATTAAACCTTTTGATGATATCGCTTTACTTCAGTGGCTAAAATTTTGAATAAATCGAGGGTTAAATTTTTAAATTGGAATTGGAATTGAAACAGTAAGTGTATACATTTAAAATCAAACAAAGTTTTATGTTCAAGTTTGAATTGTTGCATTATCAATTCTAAATAACTTCTTGCTAATTGTGTTTTAAAAACCGTATATTCAACCAAATACGTTTGATTTTTACACGTTCGAATGTAAATTGAGAGGGTACGATGTCGCAAAGTGGCACGGAAATATCCGCCTACAAATTTACTTCGATTCATTACTTTTAATTTTGTAAATGATAAGAGTCGAGCAGTGTTTTGTGTATAAGAACATAAAATAACATAGATTTAAATTATGAGAATTCTAAAAAATAAAAATATGTGCAGCACGATTATCGTCTGCGTTTTCTTCCCAGTTGGAATCAAAATTGTTATGTAATTCCTTTAAAAAACTGATGACACTAATTATATTTCATTAAACTTGGTTCAAAGTTTTTTTTCACTTTAGATTTAACCATTCCTGTGAACCTAGTGCAGAGTTTCATTGGAATAAGAATAGTCGGAAACAAGAGATTCGAGCAACAAGGTTAGATTTGGTTTGGATTTTAGCAACAAGGTTAGATTTGGTTTGGATTCTAGCAACAAGGTTAGATTTGGTTTGGATTCTAGCAACAAGGTTAGATTTGGTTTGGACTCAAGCAACAAGGTTAGGTTTGTATTGGATTCGAGCAACAAGGTTAGGTTTGGTTTGGATTCTAGCAACAAGGTTAGATTTGGTTTGGATTCTAGCAACAAGGTTAGATTTGGTTTGGATTAGAGCAACAAGGTTAGATTTGGTTTGGATTCAAGCAACAAGGTTAGATTTGGTTTGGATTCTAGCAACAAGGTTAGATTTGGTTTGGACTCAAGCAACAAGGTTAGGTTTGTTTTGGATTCGAGCAACAAGGTTAGGTTTGGTATGGACTCAAGCAACAAGGCTAGATTTGGTTTGGATTCGAGCAACAAGGTTAGATTTGGTTTGGACTCAAGCAACAAGGTTAGATTTGGTTTGGATTCGAGCAACAAGGTTAGATTTGGTTTGGATTAGAGCAACAAGGTTAGATTTGGTTTGGACTCAAGCAACAAGGTTAGATTTGGTTTGGATTCTAGCAACAAGGTTAGGTTTGGTTTGGACTCAAGCAACAAGGTTAGATTTGGTTTGGATTTAAGCAACAAGGTTAGATTTGGTTTGGATTAGAGCAACAAGGTTAGATTTGGTTTGGATTCATGCATCAAGGTTAGATTTGGTTTGGATTAGAGCAACAAGGTTATATTTGGTTTGGTTTCTAGCAGCAAGGTTAGATTTGGTTTGGATTCTAGCAACAAGGTTAGATTTGGTTTGGATTCTAGCAACAAGGCTAGATTTGGTTTGGATTTTAGCAACAAGGCTAGATTTGGTTTGGATTCTAGCAACAAGGTTAGATTTGGTTTTGATTAGAGCAACAAGGTTAGATTTGGTTTGGATTCGATGTTAGATAACTAGTTTACCAGTAATTTGAATAAGACCTTAAAATTGTTTCTTTTTCACGGACTTTTTGATTTATGACTAACAGTCGTTTTCCAATTCACAAATTTCACGTATTTAAAAACATTTTCAAAAATTTGTCAAATAATATGTCTATTTTTTGGTCTTTGGGATCATATGAGTACAAAGCCCAGGAATAAAATCGTAAAAGAACTAATTGTCTTTCAGAAGTTATCCATAACAAATTCTAATTTTAGAAGAATCAGTAAGGGATTGGAAATAACAATATCATACTTTACGATTCAGGTTTATTAAATTATATTTATGATATTAAAAATAATTTATATACATTCAACGCAAAAAAGGTTTTAATACAATGCAATAATAGTGTTTTTACCATAATCTTTAGAAAACTTTGCAATATTTTGGCCAAAACTTTTATAATAAATATTAAGTTAGACTAAGAAAACAACTTTTATAAACAATATTTATATATATTGAGAGAAATATTGAAAATTCTTCAATTCTGGAAGATAAATGTTTTTTGAGTTTTATTCTGAATATGCATTTGGCAGACTGGGAGACATAACTCTTTCTTTTATTATTCTTCAATATTCTAGAAAATATTCTTTTATATTTTATATAATAAAATATTTCGTCTGTTTTTACATATTATAGCATGAAAAAAGGATTCAGAAAAAGTTTTTATATTAAAAGTTTCAAATCCTTCAATACCCAATTTAGTTGTTTAAAGGGACTTGAATACAATTTTAAGTAACCTTCCATGTAAACTGGGGCAAGCCAGATTCACATTGGTACCAATGAAACATAAATCTGATGAAAATGTGTTTCTGATATTTTCTCAATTGTTCCTGAAGCAAGAAATGCGCAAGTCACTTTTGTAGAAAAACAACAATTGAAAATAATCTTATCAAAAACAAAAATATCCATCAATCAATCAATTTGCATTTTTAGAGTCCCTTTAAGTAAAGGAACTGAGTATTCGCATATAACACTATTTTGTAGGAAAATCAGGTTGCAAAGTTAAGATAATTTTTATAAAATTAGAGTTTGAGGTGAGCAATCAGTCCCTTTCCTTTTATATCAAAATATTAACGTGAGCTTCACAATCAAATTTTTAAAAAAATCCAACGAAAAATTGTCTTTTTATCAGTCTAATCTTCTCTACCATAGATTGGTATATTATCACAAAAGGAGAGAAAAGAATATTTGTCAGCACAGTACGGGTTTCCTTGTGACTGTCATGCTTGTACTTTACAGGTGAGGATTCAAACATTTAAGGTATTTTGGTTTTGTAAGCTCTCCATAAAAATATGAATTATGGATTCTGTTTTAGAATTTTTTGCTTAAAAAGAGGTTCTCGTCTTGGTTATTATTTTTGATCAAAAGGAATTGAGTTTTTGTCACAACTCTGATTTTCTTATCCCTATATCTTTGCATTTCAATGTCAGAGATCTTAGATATTTCAAACTATGAATTATTTAAGATCAAATAATAATAGTTTGAAATATCAAAAGTTAACACCATCAAGTTGCAAAGATATATCGATTTGAAAATCAGAATTTGGGGCTAAAACTCAATTCCTTTGCATAATGTAATAAGGCAAACTTACCAAGCATAACAATTTGAAACAGGATCAATATCTTAGATTCTCGGAGAGCTAATCCTTATTGAAGTTGTAAAGCTTTAATGTTTCAAGAATACATGGTTTGAAATCTCAATGTTTGATACAGGTTGAAAGAATATCAGAATTTGACATTTTTGTTTATCGAATTATTGATGGATAATGTGTTGCTTTTTCAGGGCTCTGATTTGCTGAAAAATGATTATGAAAGATCAGAAGTAGGATTATTGGAGGTAGATCATTTATTATTTGTATTTTATGTGAGTAAATGCTGCCCATTTTCTCATCACAATTGCTTGGTCTGAGAAATTTTGATGAAGTGTCTACGTCATTTTATTTTCATTTAAAAACTAAAAAAATGACATCGAGACTCATTAAACTGTAGAATAAGAAGACGACATTTAAGCAACCAAAAAGTTCAAAATTGGTCTATGTACACACAGTTAATTGACTGTACAGTCAGTGCTCACTGCACATTTGGCGTGTTTCATGTTCATTGTCGTCTTTGTTTTCTACAGTTGTTATCGAGTATTTAATTAAGGGAAAAACTGAGTGGCACTTTTGTGATAAAATTGCTCGCTTAGTTTCTGTAGTTTCTTAAATTTTTTTTTTATGGAAAAAATATTATTATTTTTGAATGAGATAATGTTGAATGTAATTTGCTATTGCAAAGTTTTTTTTCTGGTAAATTTATGTATGTGATGCATACAAATATTTAACAAAAATTCTTCTACATTCCTTTTTATTTCCTGATATTTTATATATGCTCTAGGGTCGTATTGAGACATTATTATATGATTATGAATCTGAGGAAGAAAATTTCAAGAGTTCCCATTTATCAGACAGCGATAATCCTGAAGAGTGTATTAAAGAAGCCATAAATCTCAGTTTTATCAGGTAGTGCACCATGTATAGAGATGGGCATACAGTTTTATCAGGTAGTGCACCATGTATAGAGATGGGCATACATATCAGTTTTATCAGGTAGTGCACCATGTATAGAGATGGGCATAAATCTCAGTTTTATAAAGTAGTGCACCATGTATATAGATGGGCATAAATCTCAGTTTTATCAGGTAGGGCACCATGTATAGAGATGGGCATAAATCTCAGTTTTATCAGGTAGTGCACCATGTATAGAGATGGGCATAAATCTCAGTTTTATCAGGTAGTGCACCATGTATAGAGATGGGCATACATCTCAGTTTTAACAGGTAAACCCTGAATAGAGATGGGCATAAATCTCAGTTTTATCAGATAGTGCACCATATATAGAGATGGGTATAAATCTCAGTTTTATCAGGTAGTGCACCATGTATAGAGATGGGCATAAATCTCAGTTTTATCAGGTAGTGCACCATGTATAGAGATGGGCATAAATCTCAGTTTTAACAGGTAACCCCTGAATAGAGATGGGCATAAATCTCAGTATTTTCAGGTAGTGCACCATGTGTAGAGATGGTCATAAATGTCAGCTTTATCAGATACACCACGTTTTCTTATTATATCACTTTAAAAATAGATAAATAGATAGATAACGTGTTTGCAAACATTAATAAGCTGTTTTTGATACAAAAAATTAAGCATATACTTTTTAGTGATTGGTTGGTTGAATCTTTAAAAATGTGATTGATCTGATTCATTGATTGATTGAAATGTTGGTCTAGATTGGAACTGATGTCCCGATTAAGCTTCAAGGTTGTCAGTCAACTCAGAGTTTGCAAACTTATCCTTGATACAGGTAAATTAAGCTCGTTACTGTCATCTAGATGTCCGGGATTTATTATCATTGGGCTTTAATATTTTGGTCCCACTTAGGTCAATTAGATGAGTTTTTTCATTATCCTGTGTGCTCCATCCCTAAGAATTTTTAAAGAATGCCAAATGAAAACGTGTAACGCAGTGTTTAATTTTAAATGCTCGGACAAATTAACGGCTCAATAGTTACGCGTGATTAGCTGCTCGCTATATTTAAAAAGGACAGAAAGTTCCGAAATTATTAAGTTCAGATCATCATTTTCTTAACCCCATTCAATTGTAAAGAGAGTTTGAGATGTTTAAACTTTACCAATTTTTTTGCAAAATTTGAATATTGAGCCGATATAGCCTGCTCCTGACGTTTCTCCCAATATACAATTCTATCCAGAATTGCAGAAAAGAAAAAATTGCATTTTCCAAACTATTTAACTATTTTCATTACACTCTCAGCAATAGCATTTTTTGTTTAGCTTTAGAATGGGATCTTTTTGAGACAGCGGTGCAAGCTGCAGACCGCGGCTGTTATCTGTCAACTGTCCTGTATGGACAATCCTCGGATCAGTGTAAAGTTTGGAAGGAAAAATTAAAGGAATTAAAAGCTAATCGCAAAATTTAAATATATTTAATTCATGATTATTGTATTTTTAAATGATAACAAATTAATCTAATATTTAGATTAAAAAAAATAAAGCATTTTAAACATTGGCTTTTTATACTAATTTCGCTGCAGATTACGCTATGTCATGACAATATTAAAATTAGTATACAATGTTATAACAAATGAAGAAATCAGTGAAATGTATTTAATCATAAAATAACAGCAACCAAAACCAAAAACAAAATGTTCATTCAATATTCAAGTTTTTAGACCATTCTTTTATATTCACCGACGTAAAACTTTACATTAAGTGCTGAGAAGAGTGGAGTCTTAATCGCAATTTCTGATTGCATAGGTTTCTAATATCTTTGCAACTAAATGTTTCAGGTTACAAAGAAACAGGAACTCAAAAATTAGAGTTTGTGGCAAAGAATCAATTTCTTTGTGACTGTGGGGGATATTTAAGTGACCCATTTATAGGGTGTCATGTCTGACAAATAAAGAACCCTTTTAATCTTCATCTGAGAAAAAATAAGAAAGATATTGTCGTTTTTCCATCTCACAACTACCCTTCATGCACTGCGATCAGAAGGTTGCAAGCTTTTGCGCGCAAAAGTCAAAGAGAATTTTCCAAATCACTTCTTTGAAAATAAAGCTTAAAACAAGTCCTTTAAGGTACTGAAATGTACATGTCTAGGGCTACATAAAAGTATAAGTGAGTTAGTGAGTTTCACAGTAGAAATCCGCTTGTCACTTTTATTAACTTAAAACATAATCTATATTTGCACTTTGCAGGGTTTCTGACAGAACCTTGCAATGACTTTGGGACTAATATAAAGTGCAAATACATTGAATTTGAGAGAAGCTCATTCCAGCAAGAACTTTAATGAAATTAAATTATCTTTTTGAATTATTTTATTCATTATTAAAACATTAACAGTTAACGAGAAAAGATCTTAGCATTGACAAAATTCAGACACACTAAAATATGGATCAACTAAATTATATTTACAGAACAACTAAATCACAAATGCAAAAAAAATCCCTTTTATTTATCCCCAAGGGAAACCATGAACCATTTTACCAACAAAAGTTCAAGAAAAATATATCCTATAATCTTTTTTTCAAGTCAATATTACCGAGTAAAATATAGAAAACATAAAGGATTTGGGTTAAACGACTCTCACAAAATGAAAATGTTCCAATAATGGTCCATTAGACCGTTATAAAGAGAATGGATCGAGGGGGGGTAGGCTGGCAAAAGTACATTTTTACAAAATATACAACATTATTTGTTTTCCTAGATTTAAAATCTATTCATCATATTCATTTGTATATGTTGCTGGTATGGAGGGATTCCCCTCATAGCTGCAACTAGGCGAGGGTTTCTAACCCCTACTGTTCCCCCATACCGGAGATATTCACTTTCAAAATCATCTTCAGCATTCAAATTTCCAGCCTGAGAAAAAACATTATGCATTAATGTAGAAATGTGGAAGATATCGTCGTTTTTTCTGTCGTGTAAAGTTTGAAATTCTAGAAGTGCTCCATTATTTCTGAAGCCTGAAATTCCCAAGTTGTCTATGTCTAAATAAACCACTATTGAAAATAACCACTTTTCAAAAGAAAATCATCTTATGATCATGCTTTATCAGACAAAGCTTTAAATGGAACCGTTGTGAATCGGACAGTCCTTTTATAAAAATAAACTAAATAAAAAAATTACCATGAGGCTGCTTCGAGGTCGCTGAATACGACCTCCGTTTTCTGTATCCTCGCTTTCACTGGTCTCTATTAGTGGAGGATTAAGATTTCGGGTTCCTGAGAAAAAAATATTTTTTTAGAAAATGTCGGCCTCTATTATACTATTTGATTCTTTTTCAAACATTAAAGTTTTTGGCGAACAGGCGGCTCCACAAAAATCCTAACTTGAAATTTTCTTCAGGCTGCAAGTTTTGTTTAGGATCCGGATTCGCTGAACCTGCATAATGTATGTATTCTGGTGGCTTAGTTCGGATCCGTTGAATCCACATCGTGGACGCATTCTGGTGGCTTTATTCGGATCCGCTGAATCCACATCATGTACGCATTCTGGTGGCTTTATTCGGATCCGTTGAATCCACATCATGTACGCAGTCTGGTGGCTTTATTCGGATCCGTTGAATCCACATCATGTACGCATTCTGGTGGCTTGATTCTGATCCGAATCCACATCATGTACGCATTCTGGTGGCTTGATTCTGATCCGAATCCAAGTTGCAAAATATGAACCGAAATAAACAAGAAATATTAATTACTCTTTGTCAACCAGCTTAAAGGTTATTAAAACTGTCCTGATCTTTAACCCTATCCCTGCTGGGGTACTTGAAAACCAGGATACGCTGGGGGGGTCAATTTGACCCCCCCCCCCCCTCTAAATCCCATGTTTTATGTCCAAATATGACAAATGATACATCATTAGAAAGCTCTTGTGCTCTACTTTTAGAATCTGCAAAAAAATTTGCAAATTTGCGAAAATTGAATTTTTTATCGCAAAATCCAGTTTTATAGTAAAAATGTTTGCAAAAAAAAATTTTTCCAAAAAATAAAAAATTATACATTTTTGAAAAGCCCTTGACCATGCCATTTCAAATATGCAAAAATCTTTGCAAAATTTTAAATAACCTGATTTTTAATCAAGAAAAACTAAAAATGGGCAAATTTCCTTTGACAGGTTGTTTGCAAAAAATTTGCAATTTTTTTTTCGTAAAACTTGTGCAATCCGTTTCCTTATGTCATAGGCTTTCCAAAAAGCTAAATTTTATCAAAATCTGACAAGTGAAAGTGGGTCAAAACAAAGATTGAGTTCGTTACAGGCAAAAGCAGTCATTCAGGCAGTGTGCCTGAGGACTCAGGCAGTTAGTATTAAAGCCCGGTTTTAGGCCTAAAGGGATGGCTTTGGGTATGTAAGAAAAGTCAGAAAATTTCAACAGCCTCAGACCAATACTTTTTGAGTTATGTAACAAAAACAACAGGGGGGGGGGGGGCAAATTGACCCCCCCCCCAGCAGGAATAGGGTTAAATGGTAAATGAAAATTTCGGCTAAAAAAGAATGAGAAAAAGAGCAAGTTGATGAACTATTTGGATCCAAGTTTGCTATTATTGATATATGCTCTACAGCTAGAAGATATAGCTGCCTGAAAGGAACAATAAAGCATCTTGTCGTCGGAAATAATCAAAATCTTGTTTAGTGTAATATGGCCAAATTAATAGAGCAGCATTATGTTTTAAAATTTGCCTAGAAATTAAGATTTTTTTCATAAATTTTCTTTAACCGGATCAAATCTAAAAGACCTCTCTTAGATTTATGTATACAGAAATAAAAAGTTGAAAAGTAAGACAATAAAAAATTCTAACTAGCTAAACCTTCAATATCTTTTTCAACCAAATTGTGGCAGCCATATGATATTTTAAACTTAAAAGTTAGACTTTTCATTCTAACAAAGTCTAAAGTTTTAGATATCAAAACTTTAAACAATAAGGTTACAAAGATATAAGAATATGATAATTATAGTTTTATCGAAAATAATCTTACATTAAATATTTGAGTTGAAAAAATGAATTACCTAATGATGTGGAGGGGCGAGGAATAGAAGGAAGAGGTCCTCTTTGCCCCCCTTTATTGTTAAAATGACCAACTTTTTGACCCTGAACTGCTCTTCTTGTGCCTGGCTCTGGAAGCTGCAAATATATATTTAATATTATTTCAAATATTAAATTCAACTAAACCTAATGACTCCAGAAGGTTTGGATAAACCATTCTCAATTTTACAAGTTAAGGGATTTTTGATTGTTACCTCATTTTAACCTCAAAAAGAGACTGTTAATGTAATTTAGCAAAAAAACCTCAATTAAACAATTCGAATATGTTTTTTGAAGAAGGCGTACAAAAGACATAATTTGTTGGAAAATAAAATTAATAATTATTAATAAACAATTTAAAATTCTTATCTTTTATAACAAGCATTGTCGATTATATAGGCCTGGCCTTAAAGTCATTAGGAATTAAAAGCATTTTTGATTTAATTCTGGATAAATATTTGAGATTAAATAATGCATTATTGATTAGTCATGATAAATTAACGCATATTTGTTTTTTTTTAATATTTGTATTGTGCAGTTAGCAATGCATACTTCATTCATTTGCTTTAATAATCATTCGTTTTACAATTATAATACGCAGAGTAGATTTATGCAAGTTTGAACAACTTTTTTCATGTCAAACTGACCGCCAACTAAAAGGAATTGAGTCTCTGTCACAAACTCTGATTTTCTAATTCCTATATCTTTGCAGTCCAATGTTGTAGACATTTGCTATTTTAAACTATGACTTCTGTTAGATCAAATAATATAAGTTTGAAATATCAAAGGTTTACGACATTGGGTTCAAAAGATATAGGGATTAGAAAAACAGAATTTGTGGCAAGGATTCAATGAATTCAATTACTTTACAGACACAACATGCGTATTATACATTCCATCAAAAAATTCATTAAATTTGGTTTCGCCGTTTAGCTAGCTTTAGCTAACATATAAATAAAAAAATATATATACGAGCGACGATATAGATAATACAGGTATGGAAATTTAATTTCTTTTCGTTAAAATATGTTGCGCGGAACGTACACTTTTTTTTGAGGAATTGAGTTTTTTCCGTTTTCTAATCCCTGTATGTTTGCTAGTGCTACCTAATGGAGCAATCCTGTGATATTTTAAACTTAGGTTATTTGATCTAACATAATTCATAGTTTGAAATATCTAAAGTTTCTTCCACAGAGGGATTGCAAAGATATTAGAAAATCAGAGTTTGTGGCATAGACTCAATTTTTTTTGGGTAAAATATTCTACCCCGTAATCATCTATCCTCAATATTCCTGAATATATATACTTCATACTACACAGAAGGAATAGACATAAAAAGTTAATATATTTCATATTTTTGTTGTGAAACCACTGTATAAAATTGAAAACATGCTATAAAATGAGAACTTCAGGCCTACATGTTGTGATATAGTTTTGTAAAACATATGGATTATGGATGTTATGGGAAATTCACATAATTTTACTAATCATGCTAAGCAGGCAATCATGCAAAGAAACAGCAACCAGCCCCCCCCCCCCCATACTCTTTACTAAAAGGTAAAAAATTCATGCACTAAATTGTGTGAAATTAATTGAGATACTTATTTCTGAAAACGACTGGAGGGGGAGATATTAAGTTTAATAATTTACATTCAGAACCAGAAAATTCTGGAATAGGAAGACTACTTTGAGACCTAAGTTATTACTTTAAATAGTCTGATGAATATAAAACACAACAACTGTAAAGTGTAACCAGACCCATTTCACTTAATAAGTCATTTAACAAGTAACTATATATTGTCGTCTTCCTATTCCAAAGTTTTCTGATTCTCACTGTCTATCCCATGAATTAGTTCTAACTAGAATTAGGAGAATTAGCATGCATTGCAATATTCTGAGGCTATATGTTTGTCAGATGCAACCAATTATATAAACAATGAGTTCAAAATGTATTGCAAAATCGAAATACATATACAATTTCTGGCAAACAGTTTCAACAGGAAAGCTAAAAGATAAAAACGAAAAAAGTTTCAATGTTTTGCATATTTATCTCCTTGATTTTGTTTTATGCAAAAAAAATACATTTTTTTCTCCACTTTCCGACATTTGTTAAAAAATTACCATTTCGTGAGTTATAAACTAGCTTTATGGTTAACATAAAAAAGTCATTAATCCTTTTTTTGTAAGCTGCATTCAGTAAATACAAATATTTTTTGTTATTTTATCAATATTCATTTATTATGTTGACTTAAAATGTAAATTTGATTAATTCAAACAAATATTTTCATTTTTCAAAATACAAATTGCACGGTTTTAACATTGCCATAATTTTTATCAATTAATGTTTTAACAAATGCTGATAAGATTCTTAAATTACTAGCTTTAGTTGAAGAGTTACTTAGAGTTTAGCTGACAATACCTTCAAGTTTTTAACAATTTATTTTGTTTAGGTAGATTAAAAAATATTTGTGAAGATTAGCCAAACCCAACCTATTGTTAAGTATATACTGTACAGCGTACATATAATATATTTTGTACCGGTAGGGTTGAATATCTCAGGTTTTGAAAAGTAACTCCTCGAGTGATCCGAGCCATGTTTTCATCGCTTAGTTTTTCTTTTAAAGATGAAGTATCGCTTTCACTTTCAGAGGTGGACTTATCGTTTCTCCGGTCTTGTTTAAAGTAGTCCTCTAAAGATGGCCGGCTTGCTAGTTGATTTTTCCGTAGGGTTGCATAGGCAAAAGGAGCAAACTCTGATGCGGCCATGCGTCCGTACTGGCGCGGTAGCGTGCCGTAGATAGATACTTGGTCCGCCGGTACAGTACCGTATATCGACATTGGTGGTTCAGTAGGAGACATGTACAACGGTTCCTGGCTCCCACTGTACACTATAGGCTGCTACAAGAAAAATATAAATACAACTTTGGTACAAAGGTCGTAAACTCTAAAGTTTGTTTTTGTTGTGTAAATATAAAAGATTTCTCTGTTAATAAACAATGTTTGTATGAAAGTTGGAGAGAAAAGAGAAGTGTTTGGATGAGTTGAATAGAGGGAACATTATGGAAATAAATTACACATTTTTCAGATTTAACACCCTATAATATTTTATAATAAAGTCTAAATTCTAAACAAACTCTCTACACTATATTTGAAACTATAATTCAACTAAAAGGAAAATAGATCTGGATAAATCTAATTTTAGCTTTTATTTCGTTGTTTCATTTTTCTGCTACTTTTAACAGTGTTTTAAAGCAGGTAACAAATGTGACGTAATTTTTAAAATACACTTAGTTTATAAATATACCATTTTCCTAAATAAATTTGGTTTATGCTGTAGTAGAATTTTTAAACACCTTTTGCAACGTATATGTATGTATAAATGCATTTATAATCTAAATTTAAACATTGAAAATGATTTATAAAATCTATAAAAAATAAATAAATAACAAAGTAGGAAAAAAAGAAAGAAAGAGGAAAAGAAAGAAAGAAAGAAAAAGAAGAACTGGGAAACAAATCTTTTTCTAGAATAAACATGCAGAGTCTGTTGTGAACTATTTAAGTATTCATTGCAACCGGTTTGGTTTACAAGCTAAATTTTAAAAAATTGAGAAAAATATTTTTTTTTAAATTCGTGAATTCTTTAGCAACAATAAAGAAGAAAATAAAACAAAAAATGAATATTAACTTTGAAATAAGACGACAATACGTCTGGAAAGGTCCTGAAGTAAAATAAAATCAACTATATACAATTAACTAAATTTTTTCAGTTATCTATAATATCAGGTGTTTCCCAAAAGGATTTTCACAAATTTATCTTCGGCTAAACTATTTGAAAATATATATTTTGTCAATAGTTATTTTGTTATTTTCAATTTTCAATTTAAAGTTCCCGCAAAAAAAACTACCACGAGGGAAGAAGTCAATTTGGAAAACTTATTAAAATCTGACTAAATTTAACTATTTATAAAAAAATATTTGTGAAAAAAGTACTTACCGCGTAAATATTCTGTGGGTGTGAACCCTCCATGTGCCCCGCCCATCTTGGATAGGCGGGGGAGGGTTGAGGGGCCCAGGAGGGGGGCAGCTTGGAGGGTAGGTAGGAGGGGGGAGGGGGTAGGGTACCAACAATATAAGGACCATTATATCCCCGCGACATATTGGATTTATCCTGCTCCCGCTTCCATCGTCGACTAAATTATCAGAGTAAATGATCATCATCATCATAACAGCAATAGTAGATATTTATTTCAACTTTTCCACGTGTTTTTGCTTATTTGAAAAAAATGAGATTTAGGAAATAGTGGGGGAAGAGTTGGTATTATAAAGTATCAAAAAAAGGCAAAAGATTGCCAATTGCTGCTGAATTTTTCACTTTTTCTCCAAATCCTTCAAAATTAATCCCCCTCCTCCCTTTTAATTTTCCGGGGTAGGGAATAAATCATTTAAAATGTATACCCCTGGATACTGGATATTGATCTATAGATAAAGAAAAAAAATTTTTAAATTTACAAATATATTCATCAGTGTAAGAATCTCTAACAAATCCTACAGTTTTTCTTTAAAAGTATTCATCCAAGAACCAAATTTTATGAATTTAGCTATGCATCTGAACTAACGCCGATTTAATTACTAATCTGTGGTGATACCGTGTAGTTATCATCTCCGTCTTTGATAAACCTGGCTAAAATTTATTCAATCCGGTCCTGGGAAAACCTTACGAACCAACAATGTAAAAATGTTAAAGTAAAACTTTACCGGCAGTATTTGTTCAGTGGGCGAATTTAAAGAATTTGAGCGGCGGTTTGAATTTAAGCCGCAGTTTAAATATATTATTTGATTTTTATAAATAGCTGAAGAAAAATATTATCTAAGAGGGTGGAACGGGTTTGAAGAATGTATAATATAGTTTGTCTGCACAGATTCCTTTTATTCTATTTCTGTATCATATCTAAAGTTTTGTTCTTAACACCAATCATTGAAATGGTATTTGTATTTTAAAATAGGTTTATTACATAAGTTCACATCTTCCTAATCCCTCTATTATTACATAAGGCCGCGTCTTCCTAATTCCTCTTTTATTACATTAGGCCACATCTTCCTAATTCCTTTTTTATTACATCAGGTCGCACCTTCCTAATTCCTCATTTATTACATAAGGCCGCGTTTTCCTATTTTCTCTTAACCTAAATTCTGGCTGTCCTTTAACATTTGAACGAAAGGACAACGGACTGGGTAATAGGCCGGGTAAAGTTTGTTAAGTTTTTAAATAAATTAGTAAATCGCTTTGATAAACCATGTTTACTATTGGTTTTAGCTTTCCGTTTTAAAAAATATCTTTGATCAGAAAAAAAATTGCATAATGTAATAAAAGCAAACTTATCGAGAATGCAATTTTGTAATAGGATAAATAACAAACATTTTTGAAGAGCTCTTGAAACGTGAACAAATCCTTAATGTCTCAAAACTATCACCATCAGTACTTTGACCTACCTCCACATACAAAGGCAGACTAGTGTAAGAAGAATGATAACGAAAGCAGCAACAGATGCTCCAACAGCAACTCCTAGAACCTCACCATCTACCTCACATTTCTCACCATAGTAGTTTCCTGGAACAATAATAGTTCTTGATTAAGTTAGGACTTATTGAGTATTTAGTTAGGACATAGTCGCCTCTAACTTTGGTTTTCTTATCTCTATATTGTTGTCGTAGACCTATGATATTTCAAGCTATTAAACAGTGGAAGTTTAAAATATCAAAAGTTTACACCATTAGGTTGCAAAGATCTAGGGATAAGCAAATTAAATTTTCAGACGTGTAATAAGCTCAATTCATAGACAGCTGTTAACAATGTAATCAGCTCAATTCATAGACAGCTGTTAACAATGTAATCAACTCAATTCATAGACAGCTGTTAACAATGTAATCAGCTCAATTCATATACAGCTGTTAACAATGTAATCAACTCAATTCATACACAGCTGTTAACAATGTAATAAGCTCAATTCATATACAGCTGTTACCAATGTAATCAATTCAATTCATACACAGCTGTTAACAATGTAATAAGCTCAATTCATACACAGCTGTCAACAACGTAGTAAGCTCAATTCATACACAGCTGTTAACAGTGTAATAATCTCAATTCATAAAAAGCTGTTAACAATGTAATTAGCCCAATTCATACACAGCTGTTAACAATGTAATCAACTCAATTCATACACAGCTGTTAACAATGTAATTAGCCCAATTCATACACAGCTGTTAACAATGTAATCAACTCAATTCATACACAGATGTTAACAATGTATTCAGCTTAATTCATACACAGCTGTTAACAATGTAATCAACTCAATTCATACACAACTGTTAACAATGTATTCAGCTTAATTCATACGCAGCTGTTAACAATGAAATCAGCTCAATTTATACGCAGCTGTTAACAATGACTAAAAATCACCTATACAATCACAAGTCCTTTCTTTGCCATTGATACTGCAGACGCCATGGTTTGAGCAGAAGTCCTCAGGACAGGACGCACAAAAGCGTCCTGATTTCTCCGGGTCCTCAGGATACTTGTCCTCATAGCCTAGATATTTGTTTTATTTCCTTTGTTATTAATAATAAAAATGTAATTATAAAAACAAATTTCTCTGAAACTCACTGAAATTTTTGTTTAGTCTTGAAAATGCAACTTACATATCAATTATAAACTAGAAAATTTCACTTTAACATTAGTATTTATAAAAAATTACTCCTCCAAAACTGGAGCAAAAACAAGCGCTTTAAAATTTAAAATATAAAATCCCAGGATTAGAGGTTACAAAATAGAAAAAAAAACAATACTTTTCATAACTGTGTAGACTTCTGTGATGCTTTTAATTTTATTTATTTTAAGTTTTAAAAGTTAAAATTAAACCTTCTTTGCACTGACAGATGAACCCTCCGAAGGTATTTATACAGAGACTAGTGTCTCCGCAATCGTTTGCCTCTGGCTCCGAGCACTCGTTAAAGTCTCCGATCAGAGGAATAGGATTCTCCCGGGATACCGCGTACAGGTTTCCGTTTCCTGAAACAAATAAATCTGAGAAATATTTTTAACAAATTCCTTTTCAGCAGATTCGTGTTCTGCAAGAAATTCCACACATTTTATCCGTTGAAATTAGAATTGAGAAGAATTTTGTATGCTTTAAATATGAAATATATATATTCATTTTCAAACAAAAAAATGTTTAATGTTTCATTTCATCTGCGCATCTTTTAATATATTTAGATTATAAAGTATTTAGGTTAACAAAGTTTTAAAAACATTTCATTGATTTTGAATCCAAGTTTATAAAGGTCTTTACCTATATTATTATCTCTGGCCTGTATTACTTCAACTAGTTTCTTTTGTATATCTCGTTTCACAACCTTAATTATTACTATTGTTATTATTATTATCATTATTATTATTATTATTAGTATTATTATTATCATTATTATTATTATTATTATTATTATTATTATTATCATTATCATTATCATTATTATTATTATTAAATCTACCTCTGAACGAGTGTATCCGGTCTCTGCCAGTTCTATGGTCGTGTTGACGACGACATCCCTGTTGTTTGTGTAGAACGTGTTCACTTCGTTCTGCATGTATATATTGGAGAAGGATGTCAAAGACATTGCAGAGTCAATCTAGAAAAAATCCATTAATTTCAAATGAAAATTAAGTTTTTTGAAAATTGTTGAGGAATATAACCTAAAACTTTTTTAACTGCATAAACTTTGATATTGCTTGTTTGTTTAAGCATAATAAATACGGCGGGTCCATGTTTTGTGGGACCTCACATGCCCCAAGAAAAGCTTCATGGTTACAAATTTTGCCTGCTAACAAATTTATATCTTTTGAAAAATTTTGAAATCTTCCAATAAATACAGAAAAGTATCATTTTTCATGATTTACATATAAAAACTGGTTTCAGATAAATTAATATTTAAAAGGTAAAAATATTGCAATAAAGAGGGGCGCGAAGCACCCTAGAGGCCAAGCATATTAAACTTTGTTTTGAATTCCACCCAACATACCGCATAGTTTACTTCGCCTTCAAGAACTTGAAAACTCTCAGAGTTTTGATTCTTCAGGTCAGAGTTCCACTCCAGCTTTGTATCCTAAACATCAAATTTAACTTCCTAAATGAATAAGATAGGGGTTCTTAAACGTTTACATTTGAAAATAAAAAGAATGTTAAGGAATTATAAAATAAGATGCTATTTAACAAAGGAACTAAATACACGCCACAAACTTTATTTTTTTAAATTTTATATCTCTGCAACCTGATGTCGTAGATCTTTAGTACTTAAAACTATAGATTGAGCCAGATGCAAAAGCTAAAGTTTGAAATATTTGAGGCCTATCTATACTGTAAAGTTCCAGGAATTAGAAAATTTATTTTTTATATGTAAGCACCTTTAAAATCTTTGAAAAATAGCTTTTTACAAAATTCCAATGGTATTTCAATTTTGTAAAAAATTGTTTTAAAATATTGTTTCCTTTCTAGTAAATATTAATTAATAAGTAAAAATTACCTTCATTTTGTCCAACTTCAGAGATATAAGCAGTTTCACGGTTTCTAAAAAGTAGAAATATTTAAAAATTATTTTTGAAATATGTTTAAACCAGTGGTCCCGAAAAATTGGATAATATTTATTAAAACAGTTAAGTAAGTAACTATCAAAAAATGTACAACGAAGTTAAAACTTAATTCTGATAAAACGTTCTTTAAAAATATATAAAAAAGACTTTAATTAAAATCTGAAACTATGTTTCATTCATTAAACTAAAGCAGTTAAACATCAGAAATAAACAGTCGTCCTCGTAATCTAGTTTACTCTGAAGACCAAATGTATGTTGCTCAAACCAGCAAGAAAAAGAGTTTGAAAGTTAATTGTTGAGTTGGATAAAGAAGAAGTGCCAAGTATAATGTGCATTACGAGGAAACTTCCAGAAACTTGGAAACTTGGAAGTCAGGTTTAATAAACATTAAGAAATACGTAGACAGGGATTTACAGAAATCCTTCTTCCCCCATCTACATTAAACATCTAATGAAAAAAGATTTGTGAAAAAAAAAAAAAATTTGGATCAATTTTAATTTTTTGCATTTTCCCTTCCTGTATGGACTATACTTTACATATTTCTTTAATATTAAAAATATATTATTTTGATTAAAAACTGAAAAGAAGGAGCTTCCGTAATAAAACCTTAAAAACAGTTTTTCTATGAGAAAAAATTATAGCATGGTTTTCAGATTTTCATAAATACGAAATTTTCACCCCATGAAAGAAGTTGGCATTCATCTTGATAAAATATTGATATTTTTTGCTTATCATACAAACTTTTATATTTGAATTAATGACGAAATAAATATATTCTATAACAGTAGTATCGGTTTCACATAATTTGCCTTTTAACAAAATGGAACTCAGAGAATTTTTTTTTCTTGAAGTATAAAGAAATCGAAATGACTGGGCAGAATGTAATATTGCAATGTAAATGTCTAAGCCTCCAAGGCTCAACATTTTCAAATAAAAAAAAATAACTTTTTGCTTCACATCAAGATACAAATGTTTATTTAAAGGGAATTTAGGCGCACTCTCAAATTACTTTCCATTTTAAGATTGAGAAAACGGATTAAAAATGAGAAATGTAATGTGCACAATTTTTTATAATTTCAATCCGAAAGTTACTTTTTCAAAGAAACCACGATAAAAAATAAGAATATCTCATTCGGACAAAAGGTTTCAGTAGTAAGATTGTGCATCGGTCATACCATTCTATGTCTATAGAGTCCTATTAAAAAGAATTTTTTTAAATATGTAATACAAATTTAAATTGTATTATTTTCTTACTTTTACAAAGAAGACGATGGTTCTGTCTCCCGTATCCTGGTTTACAATAACATGAAGATACTCCTAGAGCAGTTCTGCATACCTCATGCTGCTCCATCTAAATCATGTTGATCATCTAATTAATCTAAATCAGAGATTGATCTATATTTTCTTTTGTGTTGGCGGAAAGAGGGTAGAAGGGATAGGGGTTGGAGAGGAAACAATTACAGTAAAATTTGAGTGAATGTCAATTCTTTAAAAATAAAATTTAGAAGAGGGGAAGTCTGCGGAAAGAAAATTCGGTCCAATGGAAATTTTAGAGAAGATAAAGATGGGTGGAAAGGCAATTTGAAATAAATGAGTTGGAAGGGAGAAAAATTCTACATAAACAAAAGTGGGTCAGCAACTCCGGGAAAAAATTGGTTGGTCGGGGAATTTCTGACAAGGGTTTGGAGGGATAGGAGTTCTATCTGAGGAAAATGAAGAGAATTGTAGTTTCAGAGAAAAAAAATTACCTTGCAGGTTGCATCGTTTCCAACAATACAGGTGTCAATTCTAACAGGGGGAGCAGCGGGTCGTCTAATTTATTCAATTAATAATAAAACATTTCGTTAAAATTCACATGAAACTTAAAGAAAAGGTTAATTGTTTACACTTTTATCGTTGAAAAAAGTTGAATTATCATATGAAATAACAATTCAGCTAACCTTATTAAAAAGTTTCAATAACCAATCATTTCAGTCAAAATAAACGTAGATTAAAAGTCATGGTGTCTCTAAGAATGCATAATGGCCGAGTAATACTACATAAATGAAATCATCCTGATGAGCGTATAAACTTGAAAAAATTGCGCTATAAGTTAAACTTAAAAATGCGGAACGTACGGCATATTTAATAGAGTAGGATCTTTAGGTCACCCTGGAATTTCATATGGAATTATTTTTCAAGGAAGGAACTAATGATATTTACTATTTAGGTTTTACAATATTACAATATTACAATATTAAAATCACATTGCAGTATTTAATCTTAAAGGGACAACACCGACGTAAATTTAATTTGTATCTTCATAAGAACAAAAACTATCTTTGTTTTTCTGTCTGAAAATTCATGGTTTCCATTTCAGTTCTGTAATATTCTTTATTTTTATAAATATAAGATAATTTAGATAATTTACCTTGTAGGTCCAGGTACCCCAGGTCTAGTTTGAAGAATAGGATTACTACTGGTGGTAGGTCTACTCTCACTAAAAACAATTAATATTTGTAGACAACATAATTTTATCCAAAATTGTGTTAAATCAAATAATCTAGGAGTTTGACGTATCAAAGATTTCCATCAGGTTCCAAACATTTACGAATTAGAAAATTTGAGTTTATGGCAAAGCCTAAATTTCTTTTCGTATAATTGTTATTATAAATTTAGAATTGTCAAACAAACGATGTTTATTTGCTTCCCCCTTTCAGAAATAATTTGTAAAATAAAATTATGCAAAATATGAATTTTTAAAAATATGCATTTCGAAAAAAAAATCAAATCAAGATTAATAGAATCAAAAACCTCATCCCCCGGAATCCATAAATGTGATTGAACTTGTNCCCCCCCCCCCAATCTAAACTGGGGGATATATTCGCCCCCCCCTGTCAGTATATTTACCTAGGTCCTGAAGCACTAACTGGTAGAGAAGATCCTACTGGAGGAGAATAATTGTGCAGAATATCTTCTCCTAAAATAAAAAAAATATGATATAATAAGATATTTAGAAGAACAATTAAGCGATCATTTTTCGTGAGAACGATCGGTTTTTTTAAGTTTATGAGTCCAAGCATGAAAATATGCAATGATGGTATTATCAGAAGGTCAATTTAACAGTAGGCAAAGTGTCTAAAACTAAAATATCCCAGAAAACTGTCTTAAGCCAGGCTTTTTTTTAAATGTTCTAACCAATTATATTTCGTTTTTGCTTAATAACTATGGTTTTGTCGTTTCGTTCATGTGTTTTCAAAAGTTCAAAACTAACACTTAGTTAGGTTAAGGTTTAGCTTTTGTATCGATAATTTAGCTGTCGGCAGGTATTTTGTATATTTTGATTTTTGATGAAGGTTTAGGTTTTGTGTCGATAATTTAGCTGTCGGCAGGTATTTTGTATATTTGGATGAAGGTTTAGAATTTCAAGGTTTAGGATTAGTTCTGCTCCAGGTGGTATATTTAAACGCTCTCAATTAATTCAGTACAGAAATAAAGAAAGTTTTAAAATTTAAAAGGTTTAAAAGTCAGGACCTAAAGTTAAGATATGTGCTGGTCGCTCAACTATACCTACATCCGGTTAAAATCCTGCATCACCAATTCAAATCCTTATAAATCTTTAACTTTGAATCGGTGATTCAGTATTTGATCCAGTTGTATAGGCAGTTTAGTTATAATAATCAGAATATCCCAATGGGCGGATAAATAAGTATTACAAACAAATCCACTAATCATATACTAATCCTTTAAAACCTTATTTACCTTTTACTAAAACCCTTTCTTTGGATTAAAGCCACTTACAAGTTACAACCTTTAATTCTTATAATATTTTTGCATCATGTTGTTCGTATCTTTAAGTCAGATTTAGCATCATGTTTTTATACCCTTAAATCAAATTTTAGCATCATGTTGTTCGTATCCTTAAATCAGATTTTAGCATTATGTTGTATTTTTATATGAGTTTAGGACCAATACACAATTTGAAAAGGATATATTTAGACTTCATTGATCTATATCTGTGAACCATTTGTAAAAAGTAAAACAAAAGTCGCATTAAAATATTGACGTCTAAATATTGTACCTCCGATTTTGAGCGTGGCTCCGATGACTTCTCCTCTGCCAGGCAGAGGTCGGGATGGTTGCTGACTCAGCTGTTGGCGGAAGGGAACACGGGTTGCACGAGGCGGTTCAATCTCCGCCACTGCTGAACTTCCGCCTGGAAAATTCGCTGTAAAGAAACTAAACACTTGCCAAAAGCCTTATTTTCTTATCTAAAGTTTGAATATCAAGAACTATGGGAACAGGTTGCAAAGATATCAGGATTAGAAAATCAGAATTTGCTGATACTTTTTTCGGAAAGCAAGGGCCCAAGATATGTTCAGTCAGCGAAAATTTACATTTTCATCCATTTACTAACATTTTATTTGTATGAACATTTTTAAAATTGAAAAAATTGATCTTTAAAATTGAAAAAAATGATTTTTTTAACAAAGCTCTTGCCAGTCGACATGCTTTATAGCTCTAATTTGTTTCTTTTAGTTTTTAAAAAATGAGATAAACTTACCAAGATCGAAATAGGTTCGCTTGCCATCGATGGAAACAAATTGGTCTCCAGGTCTGGCTTTTGTGATAATACCACCAAAATCTAAAAACAAGTTGATTATTTGTCGCTTGTTTTTCTTAAATCAATAAAGAATTGCATTTTAAAAAAAAATCTTAAAAATTTTAATTTTTATACAGAAAATATTAGTTTTGAATGAGTTTAGACTTTGCCGCAAACTCAAGTTTTAATCCCATATACAGTTTTGCAACTTTAAACTTTAAAACTCAGATTATATGATCCAAAATAATTCATAGTTTGAAATATCCAAGCTATAGGACTTGACAAAAAAAAGGATTAGAAAATTTGAGTTTGTGACAAATACTCAATTCCTTTTCATGACTGAACAGTGAACAGTGAACAGTACCTTTAAAGATTGAAATGCAAAGATATATATTTCCTTTTCAATTGATCTTGTGATTGAGGAAGAGGAAGTCAAGATGACGGGTTTACAGGATGGAACGAGAACAGATAAAACTGTTTACTAGGACGGATAAGGACAGAGAGCGTAGTTGTTTTGTCGGGACGGATAAATACGGAGAAGGAAGGTGTAAAGACGGATAAGGGTAGAGCAGGGTGTTTCATGACGGATAAGGACTGAAAAGGGTGTTTTAAGGACGGATACGTACAGAAATAGGTGTTTTAAGGACAGATAAGGCCAGAGAAGGGTGTTTTAGGTCGGATAAGGACAATGAAGGGTATTTTAGGAGATGTTAGGTACTTTCCAAAGGATTGTTTCCAAGTGGCAACTTCCCAAGGGTATTTTCCCAATTGGCAACTTCCCAAATGTGAAATTTCCCAAGCAGCAACTTCCCAAGTCTGTCCAAGCCGTAGCAATCGGCCCGCAGCCTTTTCTAGCCGCGGCGCTCGGCCCCCCAACCCATCCTAGCCGCAGCGATTAGCCCCCATTGCAGCCTGGGAAGTTTCCGTTTGGGAAATTGCAAATTTAGGAAGTTCCAACTTGGGAAATTGTGGCTTGGGAAGCACATAAGGACGAAAAGAAGTAATTTATAGGACGGATTATAAGAATTAACAAAGTTGGTAGGAATAGGAGTTTGGTCGGATAAGGACAGAGGATATGGAGCTGTTAGTACGAACTATGAAAGAGAAGAACGTTCCAATTGCTCAACTGGTTTTCATTGAAGAACATTTGAAGGAAATTTACAATATCTTATGTTATAATTACCATATGTTTTTATTTTCATTATCAGATTTGAAAATATTTAAAAGGATTCGAATCTTTCGGATTTTTCAATCCCTATATCTTTGCAATCCATTGTCATAGACCTCAGATATTTATGTGAGATCAAGTAATCTAAGTTTGAAATATCAAATGCCTATGTTATTAGGTTTCAAAGATATAGGAATTATAAAATTTGAGTTTGTGATAAAGACTCAAATTATATTAAACAAAAACTGTGGCTTCAAAAAAAAATTTCTTACCTTGATAATTTATCTTATTTGGTTTCCCGCCAAAATTCTGCTGAGCAGTTACTGTCAAATCAAATACGTCATTGTCTGCCGGAACAGCAATACCAGTAATAACCGGTCCATCGTCCGGCAAAACCAGTCCGGGACGACTTGGGAATACAAAAGGACGAGTGTTTAAAGGAGGTGTTGGGACTGATAAGGGTGGACGTTGAGGACGGGGAGGTCGTCCTTGTGGTCTCGGGGGTCGGTAGCGCAGAGGACGTTTTTTAATGATTTGTGGAGTAACAAGAACTGGAGGAGTAAAACTAGGTTCTATATCAACTAAAGGGGGTACAGTGGTGAACTCTGAGCTAGGTTCAACAGGTCCAATGTTTTCATTTAAAAAGTTTTGGAGCAGATTGTTCCTGTCTGGAGGAGTCTCATCAGAGTCTTGAACCGTGGTTTCATCAGGAGACTCTAGGATAACTTGTTCAGAAGAGTTCTCAGAAGAGTTTGTTCCTATACTCTCCGTTGGTGTCTCCAACTCCGTTGTATTTTCTATCTCCGATGGTTCTGTTTGGTCAGGTTGGAGAAACCCTGGATCATATCCAGGTCTAGTGGGGAGAGCTGGAGGGAACTGTAAGGGCAGAGGGTTCCGAGGAGGAGGTTCAAGATTCGGCGGCCGGATGTTTTGCCCAGGAATACGGTTCCTAAACGGCCGTTGGGGGGTAAGATTAGAACCAGATTGTGAGTTGAGTAACTCCAGGGGGATTGATTCGAACGGAATATTCGCTATATTAGGAGGTCCTCTGTTGTTTACACGGGTTCGGTTTCTGTTTGGGAATAAATCGTCCTGGTCCTGGTTAAGCTCATCGTTCTTCACTTTATCCTTCTCCTCCTGCTTTCTCTTGTTGCTCTCCTGGACGTAGTTGGTGGCGATGTTGAGCCCCTCCCCCATAACATTGAGAAGACCGGAGAGAATATCACTGATTTTTGGAACATTATCCCCTCGGTCATTATTTCTCGGTAATTTTTCTAGTCCGTCATTTTCCTTGTTATCTCTAGGGTTTATTGGCCCCCCTAGTTTATTACGGGAGGCCCGATCCCTAAAAAATGATCGATATCGTCGGTTGTTTCGTCAATTAGGCCGATTCTGTTCGGATTTATCTTGTCATAGGTGGCTGTAGTCATCTCAATTGCTTGCAAAGACTGTGTAGGAACAATCTAAAAAAATGAATTAACATTTTGAAAATCTTGCTTTTAAGAATTAAATAAATATTAAAAAAACTTTTCTAAAAAAGAATGGAAGGACAAAAAATGTCGTGTTTTCCTTTCTCATGGTTTACTGTTTTATGATCAACCAACCTCATAAACTGACTGCGCATTTCCAAGTCTAAAATTTTGTTTCACCGCTTCTTTGTCCACATCTTTAAACTCCACTTTAGTTCCATCTAGATCGTCGGCCGGGAAACTTGTCGGAATTGGAAAATCGTCGACTTTTGTAGATTCTAAACTGATGCTGGGTCTTGGTACAGGGCTTGATACTTCCTCTAGCTTAACTAAAAACATCATTGATACAGTTAAATACGGACTACGTCGTTCAAAATTCGTAGAATTTCAAAAAAAGCTCGATTAAAGATTGAATTATGATTTTTGATCATCGCATAAAAATCGAAATTTTAACTCTGATATTGGGTTTTAAAAAATTGCAGAACTTTGCGAAAAAAAATTATGAAATAAATCTTTTTTTACTTTTATTTCCAGAAAAAAAAAATTTTACCTGAGTTTGAGGTTGAGACAAGGGGAGCAGATGAAGGAATTGAACCCTTGGCACTCTTAATTTTAGAGCTTGTTTCATCATCATCATCTACTAAACAATATTTAATCTTAGTTTCAGATATATCAGAGCTAGTCTGTTCATCATCATCTACTAAACAATATTTAATCTTAGTTTCAGATATATCAGAGCTAGTCTATTCATCATCATCAACTAAACAATAGTTAATCTTAGTTTCAGATATATCAGAGCTAGTCTATTCATCATCATCTACTAAACAATATTTAATCTTAGTTTCAGATATGTTAGAGCTAGTCTGTTTATCATCATCTACTAAACAATATTTAATCTTAGTTTCAGATATATCAGAGCTATAGTCTCTTCATCATCATCTACTAAACAATATTTAATCTTAGTTTCAGATATATCAGAGCTAGTCTCTTTATCATCATCTACTAAACAATATTTAATCTTAGTTTCAGATATATCAGAGCTAGTCTATTTATCATCAACTACTAAACAATATTTAATCTTAGTTTCAGATATATCAGAGCTAGTCTCTTCATCTACTACATAACAATTATCTCCGATACGTTCTTAAAATTATATTGCCATTGCCAAAATCCTTAGTTTCAATTTCTAAAAACTGCATTTTACCATCAAAACAATCTTAAACTTAAAAAACATTTGTTTATCTCTAAAAAGCCTAGAAAACCCTTTTGGGAAATCCCATTCAAAGTATCTAACAAATGCACAGAGACTGTCCTCGTGAACGTCTATCTAATTGTATTTCTTGTCCGAAAGTGCCTTTCCAGAGAAACCAAAATTAAAAATGAAATTGTTTAGATTGAACACACAAGGATAACTTCAGAATTTTCGTTCAGGTTAAACGGCATGTATTTTGATATGGAGGGTCGCTTAAAATTACGTCGACACTCTATAAAACTTCTTGAAAATTACGTCGACACGCCATACAATTTCTTGAAAATTACGTCGACACGCCATACAACTTCTTAAAAAATGCTGAAATTAAAAACTGTTCTTTGTACTATTATACTGTACCTAATGAATTGATAGACAAGGTTGGAGATGCTCCTGAATCAGGTGATGGATCCTGATCTACTGATTGTTTTGTTTGTTCTACAGGTAGACTGGGTACTTCAGTAGATGTAGAGGACATACCGTCCGTAGAATATATAGAATTTGAAGTAGATTTATCATCTCCTAACTTAGCGCTAGTTTCTACCTAAACAAAAACAATCTTGTAGAAACTTGTTAAAAAAATCGAATTGTAATTAATTGGAAGAAGAAAAACCCTTTAAGTCAAACTATAGCAAAATAGAAATCCTTTAAATTTGTTAATCATAATTCCTTCCTATATTTTAAAGAACTGTGTTTGGAAACAGACAGAAGGACCGGGGAATATACCTCATACACAATAGATGAAATTAAAAACTGAACATTTTAAAGATTGCACTAGGTGAACACACACCTAGTAAACGTCTGCACTAAGCACTTGCAATAAATGTGAACAATTTTTTCAATAAATTGCGACCCTATTCATTGTCCACAAGCAAAATCAAAATATCCTTGTAATTATATTTCATTAAAAAATGTAATCTTCGTATTCAAACTTATAATTTATAAAACTATATATTTTGTGTTAATAAAAATATTTAGATCTTTAAAATAAGATTTAAGAATAAGAAAAATGTTTTGAACTAAAATGTACCCAGATAAATTTGCTTTTATCCTACTTGTGCGTTAAATAAAAACTAGAAAACTACGAGGTCACAAAGTCGAAGCTATAAGGTCACATACATTTGACCTCCCGTCTTGTTCAGGGTGCCTCAAATATTTAAGGTTGTTTCTTGTATTAATCTTAACTTGAACATTTTGCTTTTATATTAGTCTTACAAATTAATCAGCAAAATTTTGGTTTTTAAAAATTAAAAAGTTGTACATAGAAACGTGTAATAGTTCTATCTAATTCTTTTTATGTAAAAATATTTAAATTAGTGTTTTTTGTTTTGTTGATTTCCCCTCCCTCTCCCCCCTCTCCCCTCTAACTAGGTATAAACAGCTAAAAACTTTTAAAATGATGTATTAAGAGTAATCCCTACAGTTTTTAACTTGGAGATTATTTTTTTTTGTTTAAAACTTGAAGGAAGGTCACGTGTCACAATATTAGTACTTACTTGTAAGAAAGAATTATCTGATGACTCAATAGATATGGATTCTTTAATAGATCCCTCAGCTGTTGTACTTTCTAAAACTTGAAGGAAGGTCACGTGTCACAATATTAGTACTTACTTGTAAGAAAGAATTTTCTGATGACTCAATAGATATGGATTCTTTAATAGATCCCTCAGCTGTTGTACTTTCTAAAATTTGGCAAAAAATAATATAAATTTTTGTATTCAACAGAAAGCCACATATTTAAGCCTTATATTATTGCAAACCTGATGTCGTAGACCTTTAATATTTCAATCTATGAATGTTGTTAGATCTAAAACGAGTCAAAGTTTGGAATGTCTAAGGTTTAAACCATCAGGGTTGCACGGATAGAGGGATTAGTACAATAGAGTTTATTGAAAATGTTTAGATCCTCTTTTTACAAAGTGCTGGATATCTCATTTTATGGCTTTATTCTCTATATTGGAAGCATTATTTTTAGTTTGAATAATGATTTATTAATATAACTCCGATACAGCACAATACAGTACCCATACCCTACATTTCTTACATTTTCTGCATAAATGTCAAATAACTTATTATTAACTAGAAATTCAAGGCGCTTCGCGCCCTTCTTTCTAGGCTTTTAGGGCGCTTCGCGCCCATCTTCTATTTAAATTGTGAACATGTTATTTTTGTTTACATTTCAAAACAAAGAGGAAAAAAGTTTTGCGGATTTTTAAAAAAAAATTCGCGGATTTTCAAAAATTTTATTACCTAATACAGATAATTTTGACTGTTCACTTGAATCTACCTCTACACACAAACAAACTAAAAGAAAAATATAATATTAGAAATAAATAGAAAACATAATAAAAAATGTAGATAGTTTTAGAAAGTTAATATATAAAGCAGTCAAATACACATTAAAACGTCTCATAAATGTATATTTTATAATCACAAATACAAAAAAAAATTTATTAATTTTATCCCTTGATTAAATCTATCATTTAAAACAAAATACTTTTGGAAAATGATAAAAGCTCAAAAGGATTAAAAAAATGTTTTTCAAAGTTTTGGCCATTTTGATAAAAACATGTTCAGGTTTCTTATAAATTATATCTTGTTTTCACAACATAAAAATATCGAAAACCTTTGTGAGGAAATCTAATTTCTGTCTCGGCCAATTACTTTATTTGTTTTAGAAAGTCGGCATTATGTTTTGAGAATGTCAAATGGAGACATCTTTAAAACAAGAACCCTGATATCCTAATATCCTCCAATAAAACAAGAACCCTGATATCCTAATATCCTTCAATAAAACAAGAACCCTGATATCCTAATATCCTTCAATAAAACTAGAACGCTGATATCCTAATTTATCCTTCAATAAAACAAGAACCCTGATATCCTAATATCCTTCAATAAAACAAGAACCCTGATACCCTTATATCCTTGTTTAAAACAAGAACCCTGATATCCTAATATCCTTGTTTAAAACTAGAACCCTGATATCCTAATATCCTTGTTCAAAACTCGAACCCTGATATCCTAATATCCTTGTTCAAAACAACAACACTGATATCCTGATATCCTTGTTTAAAACAAGAACCCTATATCCTAATATCCTTGTTTAAAACTAGAACCCTGATATCCTAATATCCTTGTTCAAAACTCGAACCCTGATATCCTAATATCCTTGTTTAAAACAACAACACTGATATCCTGATATCCTTGTTTAAAACAAGAACCCTGATTTCCTAATATCCTTGTATTAAACAGGAACTCTGATATCCTAATAATTTTGTTTAAAACAAGAACCCTGATATCCTAATATCCTTGTTCAAAACAACAACACTGATATCCTGATATCCTTGTTCAAAACAACAACACTGATATCCTGATATCCTTGTTTAAAACAAGAACCCTGATATCCTTATATCCTTGTGTAAAACAAGAACCCTGATTTCCTAATATCCTTGCATTAAACAAGAAACCTGATATCCTGATATTCTTCTGGAAAAAAACCAGATATCCATATAAGTTCCTTCCTTTTCCTCTGTCTCAAGTATAAAATATTAGCAAGGTTCCTCCCTCTATAGTATATATAAAGAGAGGGTAGCGGCTTGGAACCAAATTACTAAGCTATATATTCTTTACCAGGAAACATGGAGTTTTAAAGGGTGGATAGAGGGGTGGAGGGGCGGGAAATCTAATTTATTTTAATGAATTATATTGACAGATTTTTTAAAGATTTCATGGATTTATCTCATTCCACAATCTATAAGATAAACGTTAACAGATCAGAGAAAAAATACATAAAGTTGTCCATTTTAAATTTGGGTCGTTCTACTTCTTTTTAGAAAAATAATCTAGATTTAACAATCAAGTTTTGAACAATAAACTGAATTTTAAATTTTTAAATTCCAAAATTAAAGGCTTTAATTATTTAAACAAAACAACTAGATACTTCCGGTTAAAAAAAGAAAAGTTTGTTTTAAAACTTGTATTTAGTCAAAGACGGTCCACTATTCATTCAGGATTTAAAGATTTGTTATGCCTTTGTAGGGAGATTTGTAAATGCAAGAAAATCCGCCTACCACTACATCCTTCCATATTGGCTCCGCTAGAAGTTTCAGTTGAGAAAACATAGAGGCCACCTTCTTTATACATTCATAAGAGGAACATGACAGAAAATAAATCAGTTGAAATAGGAGAAATATGACATAAAATAAATCAGTTGAAATAGGAGAAACATGATATAAAATAAATCAGTTGAAATAGGAGAAATATGACAGAAAATAAATCAGTTGAAATAGGAGAAATATGGCATAAAATAAATCAGTTGAAATAGGAGAAACATGATATAAAATAAATCAGTTGAAATAGGAGAAATATGATAGAAAATAAATCAGTTGAAATAGGAGAAATGTGACATAAAGTAAATCAGTTAAAATAGGAGAAATATGATTTAAAACATATCAGTTGAAATAGGAGAAATGTGATTTGAAATATATCAGTTGAAATAGGAGAAACATGATTTGATATACATCAGTTGAAATAGGAGAAATATGATTTGAAATCAGTTGAAATAGGAGAAATATGATTTGAAATATATCAGTTGAAATAGGAGAAACATGATTTGATATACATCAGTTGAAATAGGAGAAATATGATTTGAAACATATCAGTTGAAATAGGATCAATATGATATAAAATAAATCAGTTGAAATAGGAAAAACATGACATAAAATAAATCAGTTGAAATAGGAGAAATATGATTTAAAATGTATCAGTTGAAACAGAAGAAATATGATTTGAAATATATCCGTTGAAATAGGAGAAATATGATTTGATATACATTTATCAGTTGAAATAGGAGAAATATGATATAAAATATATCAGTTGAAATAGGAGAATCATGACATAAAATAAATGGTTTGAAATCGAAGAACTATGCAATAATTCAAAATAAATCATTTGAAATAAATAGGAGAAATATGACATAAAATAAATCAGTTGAAATAGGAGAAATATGACATAAAATAAATCAGTTGAAATAGGAGAACTATGCTATTTGAAATATATCAGTTAAAATAGGATAAACACTATTTTTGAAATAAAGCAGTTAAAATAGGAGAAATATTATTTAAAATATTATTTGAAATCGAAGAACTATGCAATAATTCAAAATAAATCATTTGAAATAAATAGGAGAAATATGACATAAAATAAATCAGTTGAAATAGGAGAAATATGACATAAAATAAATCAGTTGAAATAGGAGAAATATGACATAAAATAAATCAGTTGAAATAGGAGAACTATGCTATTTGAAATATATCAATTTAAATAGGAAAAACACTATATTTGAAATAAAGCAGTTAAAATAGGAGAAATATTATTTAAAATAAATCCGTTTAGGAGCAATATGACATGAAATAAATCATTTAAAATAGGAGAAATATGACAAATAAATTTGCATTTGAAATAGGAAAATTATGTTATTAAAAATATCAGTTGATATAAGAGAAACATTACAAAAAAATATCATTTGAAATAGACTAGCTTGGGAACCCAGCGCTGCCAAGGTTACTAAAAGTAACTCCCGCCATTTACCGGCACTTGAACGATTTTACCGGGAAACTAAATTTTCGCTGTTAAAGCTGACACACTCAACTTATAATCTTAAAACCAAGCTAAGAACATTCCCGTACGTGGGGCTCCCGAGTTTCCTAATCAACATTTGAGGCAAATCGGTCCAGAGGTTTCTGAGTTATGACCGGACGGAATAGATACTGCCAAAATACAAGTAAAAGACTGAAAAAAAGACGGAAAAAGTAGAAACCTTCCTGAACGAAGAAATGTATATTTCTTGTTTTCTCAAATTTTTTAGAATTAATTATTTGAATAGAAAAGAAGAAGATGTGCAACAGAGCAAAGAGACCGTTATTACTGTAAAATATACCTTTCCTTACTTTAACTTTAATTCACCTTTTCTTCACCTGTCACGTAGTGGGAGGGTAAAAATTAAAACTATTATACTAGAAATTCAAGGCGCTTCGCGCCCTTCTTTCTTGCCTTAGAGGGCGCTTCGCGCCCATCTCCTAAATTAATTGTGAACATGTTCTCTTTGTGTACATCGTAAAACAAAACAAAAATAATTCGCGGATTTTCAAAATTTTAAAAAATTTAATGATGATCGAATTTTGATGGAGACAAATATTTGAAATTTTGATGATACATAAACCTTCCCTGGAGTCCCTAGATGTCCCACAAAAAATTTGGGCTCGATCGGTTTAGCCGTTTTGACGTTTATTGGATACAAACAGACAGACAGACATCAAAACAGACAAGCCAAATTTATATATAGATATATTCAGCGTTTTCTCAAGTTCTAGGACGGACATTTTAATAATTCTTAAATGAAGAACATCCTAGGCAAATAAAGTATTCAGTAGATCGATAAGGATAAGTCCGACATATTCTTAATTAGTTAAAAGTTTAAAAGGTACTATTGTGAATCGGGCACGTCACTTTGAAATGGCAGGTCACTGCCATACACGCCTACGGTCCCTTTAACATGTTTTT